ACATCATAATCAAATGTATCTATCATATTTCAGTTATGTTACTCTATGGTTTATATAATTTTATTTAATTAAAAAAATGAATAGCATAGGTAATAATATAAAACCTTTAAACGTAACATATTAACATTGTTCATCATACAAACAGAATTATAACACATTCTATGTATAAATATAATATTGATCTATGGTCAATTTTAATATTGAACGTATTCTTTGATGGATTAACATTTTATGATTTATTATAAGTACTTGGTTATTATTTGAACGTTAATCTTTAAATTACCTACTAATAATACTACTTATATAGTACTTATAATATTAATCCAATAAAACTGTACTATATGTTCTTGTTTAGACAGTTAATTTGACGAATTCGGAAATTGTAATAGATAGGTATAGTAGATACTATAAAGTAAATAGCTTAATCAATCATGTTAATTACAACAAACTTTACAAATATAATTTCATCCGTCAAAATTCCCAACTAATTGATTAATAATAGAGTATAATAAAGCATAAACTGGTGGAACTCAGAATGTGAATATAAAGTTGAAATATGTAATAATCTGCAAATGTTTCAATATTAATTATCATTAATAAATTATTATTTATAATTATTATCATTATGTGCACACTTTAAACAAAAAATTGTATTTCAATGTGATGTATTAAGTTTTACAATGCGTACAAATACATTTTTTGGTGCAATTTTATTTTTATTTTATTCATTTTTTACACATAACCATCATAGGTTCATAAAAAATTCTGTTGGGTTTTCTAGGTTTTTTAGTGAATGTAAAATATACAAACTGAGTGTACTCTTTAGTTAACAATTATAATATTTTTTTATTAATATGCTAATTTGTTTGTTCTAGATTTTCAATTATAGTTTTGAACAAAATAGTACAAGGATAAATATTTTCTTCTTGCTGAACACTTGAGTCTATATTTCAATTGAATAGAACCATATTCATGTTTACTGGTAAGTAAGATTATTATGATATTGATATAGTAGATACTATAGTATTATTACTACATTGTATATAGTTCTTGCAGACATTACATGTAAGTAGATAATGAGTAATAAATAATAATATAAATTAATACAATGTAGGTTATCATTAATGTCTTATCGTATTATCCTACTTATGTTAAGGAAATCTTGATTAGTACACGAAGCCCGATTTTAGTGATCTAAGTAGGGAAAAACTTGCATTGTAAACTTGGAATTTGCACAATAACCAAATGAAAGTCGGCAAAATAGATGGATTAAAATTTAATCAAGTATTAGAACATTTCAATTTACGGAATTAAACATTGTTATTGTCAACAAGTAGTTTTAATTCCTAAAAAACTCAAGTAAATTTAAATTAATGATTTTAAATTGAATCATTTAGTTTGAATCATTTAATGATTAAAATGAGATTATATTAATTTTTATAAATACATTTTCTTACATTTTTATAAACTTAAATACACATTAATATTATTACATTTCACACTCCAATAACAAATTATTCACACAGGCCCTTTAGATTGTATCTAATGATTAATTAATCACTTTAAAATTTAACTGATAATTTTCACATTGCCCCAAATATTTGAGAATTTTGCACAATATCGAAGTTCCTACTTCAGATAATAACAATCATTATATTATGCAATATCAATAAATACATGGTTACTATGTATAAACATTATACATATTATAGAAATTAATAATGAAGATTACTTATCAAAAGTTAACAATTAGTGTTTTATGTCGACTGTGGTCTAGGGCCTTTTTTGTATACTTTTTATTCGTAACATAAATTATAAATGATAATTGTGGGGATCTTTTGCATTATTATTTAACACAATAACGGTAACATAATTAGACCTGGGATATTGTCATTGACCATTGTATAATATTCTGTAATATTACTCTATAGGTATAGTCTACAGATAATAACAATTAATAAAAAAAATCATCGATTTTACTATTTTCTGAGATAAAAATACTAGTGATACTGATATGAGTCACTTAAGAGAAATAAGATCTTTTTAAACAATATATAGAATTGACTGGAACTTATGTAATATCTTTTTTAGCATTTATTTTAAATTCTGAGCGGAGCGATAAATGTTTATTTTCTGGTGGGAAAGTAAATCTAGTTGGAACTTTTTTTTTTTGGGGGGGGGGGGGGGGGGGTAAAAAGTGAAAAATTTCGATAAAGAGTAAATTCCTTAAACAATTGTGAAAAACCGGGAATTTTTACATACAGTTTTCAACCAAATCGATTTTGCAAAACGAATAACCATATAGATGCTTGAAATATACAGCTCCATGTCTCTGCCCCTCCACACTTTGGAATTTTGAAACAAAATTAACTCCATTTGTTTGGGCTTCGTTTGTGCTTTTATTAGTCCCGTCGTTTGTGCTTTATCCCTTCCCGAGATATACAACTTTGAAAGTTAATAGCTGAAATGTAATCCCGCAGCTACTCCCCTTTGTAAAAAAATTATTTTGTCTTGCGAATTTGATGACAACTGTCCACATAATCATTTTTATCTTTATGGTCTAAAGTCGTGAACCATTTGGTTTGCCAGAAAAACAACATAAAAATTCAACACATTCATTATAGTGATTTACTGATTTACTCATTGACGAGGTACACTCGACACCTACAACTGTACAGTACAGCGATTACTTGCTTTCTCCTCTTTTAAATACATAATTGGTAAATAGGTACTTGTTTTACAATAAGCGTATTAGAATACTACGTAATGCGTATGTGGTGAATTCTTAATTATCATATATAGGTAGACATAATAGACATGATAAAAAGAAGTCTCTCAGTGGTGACATTATACCTTCGCTTTTGGTTTCATCGTTAATTAAAATTTAAGAAATTTGTTGTAACCTTTTTTGTTTAGAAACGTGATTATTTTGTTTCTCCAGTGGTTCACAGTTCACTAAACCATTAGCATTCCACATTCAAATGAGCAAGGAGTTTAATATATTGTAATAATTGGGTTTTATTGGACTATGTCGTCTAATATTGCACTGGAAATAATTATAAGAGTAATAATTATTACTATGGGTCAGCATAAATAAGTGAAGTTACTTTGAAACACTATAGGACTTCTCGAGTACACAGATGATTTAATGCTGATAACAAATGGGTTCTCTAGATTTGTTCAGTTTCTAATCCATGGATATTTTACACAAAATTGTTTAGGCTTTTTTGATGTTTCAAAAGATATACTTAAAAAGAAAAATATACATTATTATAAAATGAATTTCTCCCATTGAAATCAAAAATATATGCATCAATAAATGCATTATAATAATGAAGATTATTGAATTAAAGTAACTATTATACTACAATTTTAAACATCCATAAAAAGAATAGCTGAGATAATGATATGTATTTATATTTTATGTATACTAGAATATATTAAATTAACAACTTACTTTATATTACTTTTTGATTTTTTATTTCCTATTATACTCTCGTACAATACATTTTTAACGTAAAACAATTGTTTATGTTTTTTTTTTCAATTACCATATTTCAATCGTACCTACCTTTTAGCCCTTAGGTACAATTGGTACATATTTGATTAAAGTATAAGAATTTTTTTTTATTTCTTTTTTGTAATGTATAGGGTAGACTGCATTATTAATACTAGGATAACAAGTTCCAGTGCATTACCGGTATAATGTATTTTTTAAGAAGTGGATGTGCGCTGGGTGAATAGAGCGATTTTACTGCTTGTAAATATTCGATATTGACTATTGTGAAATTATATATAGTATAATATTATAGAGATAAGCAACGGCGTCTATGTTTTTTAGCACAGCAACGTGGTGGTGTCGATGACCGCTACGCTATAAAAATCACTTTCACTCACCATTTTAACCATATTTTATTCTTTTCAATACAGTTTGTGCCAAGAACAATAACATTATTACAATGACAGCACATAGTCTACAATATCGAGAACTTTATATCTAAGATTTCGAGATTGATTAATTTCAACACACAATATATAGAATTAAAATAATTAATAATACTATAATAGTCAATCGTCTATTCTCTATGATTATATACTCTGTGTCACACAGTTCAGTTGTGTGGTGTTCATTATAATATTATGTAGAATGGTTTTTTTGTTTATTCGTATGTTCATTGTAAAGATTAAAACATACATTCTACAAATCAAACTTTAGTAGGTACATGGTTAATAAGGATGATTAAAAAGTAAAAACCAGAAAATAGCTTGTTTGCAATAGTTATTTTATTGCCTATTATTGTCCTTATACCTACTACAACATTATGTGATATAGATTGTTTAAAAATATAACTACCTGTCGCCTTTTATAGAACCGAATTCGTTACGGAGTGTGTGCGTTTTTACTATAACACTTATTTATAATTGAGAAAGGAATAGTCATAAAAACTTGTAATGTTCAACCATAATTTTTTCTAATATTTTCTAACCATGATATCAATTTTTTTTTTAAGTATTTTGCATTAATTATTGAAGCTATTTATGGGCTTGAAGTCTTTTTTAGTTTATTCGATTTATATTGTTTTAAATATAGTTCATCTGTCAAAAAGCTTTATATTTTTGAGTATGTGTGCACGATGCCACGATGATTTATGGTAAAAAAAATGCTACTTTCAGACTTTTCATGCGGGGTGGTTTCTGGTAGCAAATTGGATCTAGTTGGTACTTTTAGTACTTTTAGAAATTTCTCAATATTTTTATATGAAATACACTATTATTTAGCCTTATAATAACTAAACTATAATTCATTCCCACAGTTTCTGTGAATTTTGGAAATTCCAAACGTTCCTGGGAATATTGCATCCCCATACGCACAAGCGATATAAAACGATTAAAAATAGCATTAATTGTTATATTATAATAATATGTAATGTATAAAAACACGCGAAACGGGTGCGATTTCTGAATAACTTGGAACGGCGGTGGCGGTGCGCTTGAAATCGATGCGTGCGACTCCGAACGAGATTGATGACGTCATAAAACGGGCGCGTTGTGACGTATGGACGTCTGAAACCATTTCTCAATGCATCACCACCATTCACCGCAAGGGCTGTGGAGAGGCGCTTCGCCTCTGCGCCGTTTCAATTCAAGTTTTCGCTCACGTTCTACCACGCCGCGCCATTCTAACTCTAGACGCTGCCACCCCAATATGCACGCCGTCCGCAGTTCGCCACAGTCGGTGTTGTATACGCATAGCTTCCCATCACAACTTCTCTGCCACTGCAGGTTGTCCACAGGCTCTCTGTTCCATCATCGTCGTTACGGGTGGGCCATGGTTTAAATGAATGGTCCACAGGCGGTGATTCATCCAACATCCCCCTTGTATCCGTTAATAATGCATTTATTTTGAAATTTTTAAGTATACCTACCTATAAAGATTAAGGACCATAATATTAAAAAAATACTTGGATTTTATATATTATCATTATTTAAGGAGCATCCTGCAACTAAAAACTACTTTCTTTTAAATGAGGCCACACTCTTTTTCACTACCTACCTACGTAATTTTCCAAACTGATAATTTGATAATGTTGATCTATTTACAATATAAAATGTATATTTATTTTAAAGTAACACAATCTATAAATTAATAAATTTCAATAGAATTTTACGATTGAGATACAGATCTCGACGTTTCATAAGTATTAAATTGTTTCTTGTTAGAAGGTTTGCAGCAATGAGAAAGCACTATTCTGAAAAAGATTCAGCTAACAATAATATTCTAATTCTAGAACAACTTTTTCATGCTTGACAATTTATAATTTTATTTTATTAATTTTTATACTATCTAAATACAGTAAATTATAATTATAAATTATTATTAAAGTTTTGTGAAGTAAGCTGCTATATATGCTTGAAAACTCTAAGAATAAACAATGTTGCATAACAAGTAAGTATTTTGAGCTATTTAAACATTTTTCTATTAAGGTTAATATCCCATAATAATAGGCAGTGACGATTTCAAAATAGTTTATTCAAATATATAGTATACATTTTTATGATTTGTAAAAGTCGTATTAGTATATATTCAGTTTTTCTTAAATAATGTTATTAAAAATTCAAAAAATCAGAGTTTGATTAAATGCTTTATTCAATGATAAAAGTAAAAAGCGGCATGAGCATCATGCTTGATTAATCGCCCTATATATATATTTATGGTGTTTGGGGCGAGAAGCTCGCGATAAACAAAACATTACCGATCGAATTTCATCGTTTTATAACCCTCCTCCCTGTCACCAAAGCCGTAGGTACACTGCTCGACTATATAATATCCATGCGCGCTATAGACTAGTATACAATAGACGCCGTTGCGACGAAATATTACCACTACACCCCACCCCGACCCATCATCAAAACACGGCTATTTACGGATACACTATATTATATACTATTATAATTTAACCCCTCTCTGCGACCCGCGTTACTTATTAAACCGTTCGTTTATTACAGATTTAATTGTCGACTCATTAATAATACTGTTATTATAGTTATTACCATTATAAGTTATAACTATGATCCCTAAGAATTTTTGCCACCGCCCAACCACCTCTAGGTGTAACCATTATACGTATGGAGGCCACCATATTATTCCATTTTCTGTGTTTCCTGTGTTGGCCATCAAACAAGTTAATTTTACTGAGTTGTGTTATACATTATTTTATTATAATAATTAATACGTACTATAACATGTGAAGGTATGTCGGCAACCGAGGTGTCGTAAGCGCGATTTACCATAATTATAATGATCTTCAATTTTGTGTTAAATCCACAAACTGAATCCTATACCCAGCATATTGAATGTGTATGGTATATTACGAATAAAAAATGTTCTACACCTACACGTGTCAACGGAGCTTCCGAAACGAAATCTATGATTTTCTTAATCTCGCGAAAGAAATTAATTAATATAGTACCAAATACCTATGGGTAGTCATATTAATAATATTTTTACAAAAACAACCTTTTTTTAAATACATTTTTATAAATTATTTGTTTATTAATATGTTAATATGTTTTGAACAATAATTTTTCATGGAACAGGATTTTTTCGTTAATTAATATTTAGGTAGGTACTTAATGAAGTTCACTTTAATAATTTGTACATATTTCTTTTGGAAGAACGCTTACGACCAGTGGCGTATTAAGAGAGGGCGACGGGGGAATTGCCCCGGGGCTCCAAATTCTGAGTCCTCAAAGGGGCACCGTCGCTAGAGGTTATAACAAAATTATTTTTTTATTTTATTGGATTTGTTGATGAATTATATTATTGATAACTGATAAGTGAATACCTGTATCTTTCTTATAATATCTTTTACATTTCTATACATATTTCTATATAATATATATATTATATAATATGTATGTATTTTATTAAATTGTCGTAAAAAAATCTAAATTATAATTTGTTTATTTAATTATAAAGGTTGACTTTTTATTAGGAATAAATGGAGTGTTAACGGTAAAATAAAAGTGTTCTCTAAATTAGTGGAAGCATAAATGCAATAAGGGGAAGTATGCAATTTGGTTTATCAATTATCACTTTTACTTAGCTTGAAACCGATTAAAAAAATTTCTGTTTTGGTTTCGATTTGTACACTTCAGGTTTCCAATTTTTTCCGATTTCGTTTTTGATTTTGTTATCGGTTTCAGTTTTTAAACGGTTTATACCGGTTTCAAGACCTGGACTATTTACGTTCATTCTTAGTTTATTAATTTTTTTGAATCGCTGGATCGAGCTTCCGATCGCCTGTTGTGTAAAGTAAATTTTCAAAAATGTCAAGATACAAAGATTTTCAAAAAAAATACCGTTTTTTAAATTTTATTTTCTGTTTTTAATTATAATACAGGTATCCAATTTTTTTCGAGTCGGTATTGAATTTAGTACCGGTTTCCAATTTTTTTGGTTTCTGTTTTGATTTTGTTCTCGGTTTCGGTTTTATAACGGTTTATACCAGTTTCAAGCCCTGCACTATTAACTGAGAGAAAAAGTAAATTGTAAATTAGGGGGGGGGGTTAAAAGTTTTTTGTGACAATGAATAAAAGGAAACTGAGAAAAAAGGGGCGCCAAAATGTGTGTAGGTACTTAGGGCATAAAAATCGCAAATACTGCATACGACCCCGGTCGTAGATCACGAAAATTGTGGTAGATTCCTTATGGCACCGTTACATTTATGTCAGTATGTGGAATGTATCGATGTATTAATAATTATATTATAATTATTGTTTGTGGAAAAGACGAATAACACAACCATTACTTATTATGACAGTATGCACTGGTTCGACATCAGTCAATTGACACGTTTTGTTCACAAAATGTTGGCGTTTATACCAATAATTATAATAATAATGTCTAATAAAGTAATAATAGTAGTAACTAATAACTATAACCGAACGTTTTGAGAGTGGCACATAAAATCGAAATCAGTAAAATTTTATTGTATTATATATATGACATTAAAGCAAATAATACTTATATAGTAATAAATTAGTAATATATTATATATACGTAGGCATACGTGACTACGATATGAACTATATAATATGATAACTACTATATTATATGCAATTAAATAATCACTCAAAAAGTCAAAACAGTTAACAACTAGGTCCAATACACACTTTACTGAAATATTATTCAGCCATACATAACCAGGAAATTAAAATATTTTCATTGCATTACCGTTTTCCATGCCTACAAGGTACCTAGGTACAGTGATAAAATAATACTAATATCAAATAATTATTATTTTATTTTTGTGGTGGTATTGGAACATTTTGACTTTGAGTAAACGCGTTTTAAGTAAGCTAATAATAATATTTTCTGTATATTAATCTATGGAGTATAGTCCAAATATTATTATGATTTCATCAATGTAAATATAATTATAAACAAATCGCCTGCCTTCCGATTGATTATAATTATTTTTAATCCTTACATTTTTCTATACCCAACTATTTGATAATAGTAATGAAAATAATTGTTCTCCTATATATACTTGGCAGTTGATGTAGAAATATCGATTTACCTTATTTACCTTCTTGCTCATTTTATTTTAATACTATAGTCTATAATATACGACGTCTGTAATTTTATATGCACTATATTATTATACAAAAATTATTTTAATAATAAGGAGTGTACTTTTAAATAAATATTTTTTTGAAATAACGATTGATACCAACTCATATAATTTATGTAGCACTACATTTTAAAAATGTAATGGTGAACATTTTAAAAAAATGTACCTACATTATTTTAATGTAAATTCCAACTGTTGAATATATTTTTAAATTAAGTTTAAAAATAAAGGTATAGGTACCTATTAATAATAATTATATATTTTTTTTTAAATGTCATAAAGCTGATAAGCTATAAATATTAACGTTCAAAATTATAAATACATACCATCAATATACGTGTTTAACATTCAAGCTTTTGGCAACTAAAAAGTAAATGGAATAATTTAATGGCCATTTTTAGACTATATTCGTATTTAATATATTTTTTTATCGCAATGATAATAATAAAAAATGATATTATGTTTTTAAAAAAATATGGCTATTTAATGGCATTTAACAAAATGAATGTATATTTCGTTGGAATGTCAATATTCTAGTAATCTAGTCAATCGTCAATGTACCTACTCTATAGACTATAGGTAATAAATTCTTACTCCTGTATCTGGTTTGTTTATATGGGTTATAACTTATAACGGATATGATAAGCAAAATTATTATAAGTTTGAATATTGAAATATTACCTACTTTTTCATAGTATACTACAATCGTCAATTTGATATCGTTTATTACAAATGTCATTGCTGTTTATAAATGATAATACTTTATAGTATATTATGATACCAGCCATAATAATTTAGATATTTTGATATTACTTATGCTTATCAGTTATGCCTATAATGGCATAACACAACACATAATAGTGTACTATAATATGTATCAAGTATGCACAAGTATCGTCCAGTTCACTATCGAAGAGAGAAAATTAAATAAGTACTTTCGTTAATTTTTAAAATAATTAAATCCTTTGCATTAACATCTTATATTATTTTGAACAGCTCTAGACAACTCATAAATCCGAAGCTGGATAATAAAAAAAATTACTGTCCGGCTACTGCAGCAGCAAGCGTGCATCGTGCATATACGTTTGATGCTATACAAATTGTTTTATTTTAATTTATTTACGAAATAATATTCCAATTTACAATAATATAATAATAATAATTGGCACGCGTGTATTGAGTTATAATAAATATTAAAAAAAATA